GCCCAAGGTCATCCAGCCAGGTGCGAGTGGAGAAGTGGGGAATCAAACCCGGTTCTCCCAGATTAGAGTGCGCGCACTTAACCACTGCACCAAACTGTCGCGGGAAATGGCTCACTCTCCCTCTTTTCAGCAGAGTTAAACCAGCAGAGCTTTTGAGAGAGGAATGTCAGATCCTGTCTTATTGCTCGCTCAAGATGAGTAGCCATGTTAGTCTGTCTGTAGCAAGTAGAAAGGAGCAAGAGTCCGGGAGCACCTTGAAGACAAATTTGTGGCAGGGAATGAGCTTTCATGAGTCACTGCTCACTTCTTTTTTTCTTATCTATTCGGGGGGTTTTCTTTTTGTATTTTTCGTGTGCGTGCGCATGTGCGCACCTGGAAGTCACGGTGACATCTGGTGACTGACCCCTCCTGGGGTCCTGGAGGATATTCAGAGAGGTGGCTGAGTAAAGCCTGCCCCCGCCTCCCTTCGCTGTTCAATTAACGAGGGGGAGCTTGATGGGCTACTTTCCTGCCGCTGTGCTTCATCGAGCTATGCGTGTGGGGGGGGGGTTGTCAAGGTCAGCTGCTGGCAATGAATCTTGAGGCTCCTGGATCTTTAATTCATTAACTTTTGCTGGTTCACAGCTAGCTGCATAGGGCTCCTCGACTCCTGAGGAGTCTTCAGCCACACAGGACTCAGGCTGGTCAAGTTGGCCAGCAACAGTTTATTTATAGCAGTGCCCTGCCCCTTAGGAGCTGCGGTGGCTCAAGTGGTGAAGACGCTGAACTGCAGGCTGTGGAAGGTCGGTAGTTCTACAGTTCGGGACCTGAGTGTGCCACATGACGGAGTGAGCTCCCGTCTCTAGTTCCAGCTCCTGCCAACCTAGCAGTTCGAAAGCAGGAAACTGCAAGTAGATAAATAGGGACCACTTCGGTGGGAAGGTAACAGCGTTCCGTGCACCTTGGTGTTTAGTCATGCCGGCCACATGGCCACGGAAACGTCTTCGGACAGCGCTGGCTCTTTGGCTGTGAAACGGAGATGAGCACCGCAACCCTAGAGTTGGACTCGACTGGCTTTCGAGCAAGGGAACCTTTACCTTTTCCTGCCCCTTAATGACATAAAAGTAGTGCCATTAAAATTCACAGTTTGCAATCTTTGGTTAACAATCACATTTAACCATGCAGTAATACTTAGGAATTTAGGGGTGGGAAGGTCAAAAACCTTAAAGGTGTTATATGCTATTTAGAACAATAATAAACTTCAGATTAAGCTGAGAGCCCCTGCGCGGCCGTGGACAGATGTTTAGGAGGGAAAGCAGGGTTCGGATCCCAGTTTACCTGTACTTTTTCTACCGGGTGGAAAATAGAGGTTTGAAAAGTGCCCGTTACTTTAAAATGTGTACCAAAAAGCTGGAGATTTAAAAAAAAAAATATTTTTGAATGGCACTTAAGAACATGAAAAGACATTTCTTTTCCCTCCATGTTGGCCGTCTTCTTTGGCCTTCAATCTTTCCCAGCATCAGGGTCTTTTCCAGTGAGTGCTCCCTTCTCATTTGGTGGCCAAAGTATTTGAGCTTCATTTTCATTATCTGGCCTTCCAGGGAACAGTCAGGGTTGATTTCTTTGAGGATTGACTGATTTGTTCTTCTTGCAGTCCAAGGGACTCTCAAGAGTCTTCTCCAGCACCATAGTTCAAAAGAATCTATTCTTCGGCGCTCGGCCTTCCTTATAGTCCAACTCTCGCAGCCATACATGACTACTGGGAATACCATTGCTTTGACCATGCGGACTTCTGTTGGCAGGGTGATGTCTCTACTTTTTATCATGCTGTTTAGGTTCGCCATCGCTTTCCTCCCAAGGAGCAGGCGTGTTTTCATTTCATGGCTGCTGTCACAGTCTGCGGTGATCTGGGATCCCAGGAACGTGAAGTCTGTCACTACTTCCACGACTTCCCCTTCTATTTGCCAAGGAGTGATAGGGCTGGCTGCCATGATCTTAGTTTTTTTGATGTTGAGCTTCAACCTGGTACTTTTTCTACCAGGCGGAAAATAGAGGTTTAAAAAGTGCCCGTTACTTTGAAGTGTGTACCAAAAAGCTGAAGATTTTAAAAAATGTTATTTTTGAATGGCACCTAAGAACATGGAAATACATTTCTTTTCCCTCCAGGTTGTTGACTGCCCTGGTCAATGTTGATTTGAATCGTGTTAAATATCTCTGGAGACTCAAGGTGACGAAAAGACTCGAACACAATTTGCAGCTGAAACAGGACTGATCATTCCACAAATATGTGGGATGAAATTGTAAACCGGCCTATGAATGTAATCCTAAAAATGCATTTCTGGGAGTGAGCCCTGTTGAATAAAAGGGACTTACTTCTGAGTAGACCTGCTTAGAATTGATCCCATAGACCAGTGATGGCGAACCTTTTAGAGACAGAGTGCCCAAACTGCGACCCAAAACCCACTTATTTATCGCAAAGTGCCAACACGGCAATTAAACCTGAATACTGAGGTTTTACTTTAGAAAAAAACAACTCATACATTAACTTAAGACGATCCAAACAAAGTAATCCCAAATGCTTTCATTTACTTAAAATTATTTGGCAGAGAATTCGACACTTTAATGATGGTCTGGGCCTGGCTGGGGCGATGGCACGCGTGCCCGCAGAGAGGGCTCTGAGTGCCACCTCTGGCACCCGTGCCATAGGTTCGCCACCACTGCCATAGACACTTAGTAAGTACCCCACCACACATGCGCACACCCGAATACCTCTCAGCCAAATTTCAAACAATGCCCTTCAGTCCAAATACATTTCCAGGCTCTTGGTGTGAGACTGTGTGCTCTGAACGTCTTCAGGTAAAGAGTTTTGGTCCAGCAACTATTTTTTTTCCACAAGCTGAAGAGGAACAGAATCTATGGAGGGTACAGAGAGGTTGAGGTGCAGGGGTCCCCAACGTGGGGTCCATGGGGTCCCCTGATACCTTTCCTGGGGCCTCTTAAGGGTTTTTAGAAAGTGGTCAGGGTTCAGTGGGGCTGCGGTGGCTCAAGTAGTTAAGACGCTGAACTGCAGGCTGTGGAAGGTCGGTAGTTCAGCAGTTCGAGACCCGGGTGCCGCATGACAGAGTGAGCTCCCGTCTCTAGTTCCAGCTCCTGCCAACCTAGCAGTTCGAAAGCAAGAAATTGCAAGTAGATAAATAGGTACCACTTCGGTGGGAAGGTAACAGCATTCCGTGCGCCTTGGTGTTTAGTCATGCCAGCCACATGACCACGGAAACGTCTTCGGACAACGCTGGCTCTTCGGCTTTGAAACGGAGATAAGCACCGCAACCCTAGAGTCGGATTCGACTGTCTTTCGAGAAAGGCAACCTTTACCTTTTACAGGGTTCAGTGGGTCTTTTGCTCAGCCAGGCTTCTGGTTGGCCGTTGGAGATTTGATTGGCTGTGCAGATTTTTTTAAAAAATTGCTTTGGCAGCAGGTGTCACCACAGCACAGGGATCTTCACCGTGTGCCTGAA